AAAGTAGGACCAATTCTTTTCTTTATGCTTCAGAATGATAAGACTCCATTGCAGTATTCCCTTTCCAAAAGCATGGAAAATTTATTCGAAAAATCGAATAAATCACAAAACAACAAGAAGAACAAAAAGGTATTGGTTTATGGGTGAATGAAAAATAAATGAACGTTCATATTGATAACACGTATAGATAGATGGGTGAAAAGACGGTGGTTGGTTAAATGGATGGATATAAATGATAGACAGATGAATGGAAGGATGACGGACGAACGGACGGACGGATGGACGGATGGATGGACGGATGCATAAATGTATAATAGGCTCTTTGCAGTTAACGGTCACGTGTCTGTATACTGGTGAGCAAATTTTTTAAATTTTCTTTTAAATTGGTGATTCATTTTAGCTACTTGTAAAGAACTAAATGAAACGATGTGTAACCACTGTGTCACAAATTTTATTACGATCTCTCGAAACAGGTTGTAGAAAGTTTGTTTGCTCATAAGTAAATTTCACCCATGGGAATCAAGTTGTTCATTCATTTGCTCTCAGTGAATTAATCAGCACGTGATTACTGAGCTGCAAAGGGCCTATTAGATGGGTGTGTTCAGTGCATACGTGGTTGCCATGCATGGTAGGTCTGTGGTTAAATAATTCAATGAGTAAACTCATCTTGGTTACTAGTGATTTTCTAAGGAAAATCTAGCTCTTACTTCCTCAATGAAGTTCTTACTTCTCTTGTCAGATATCTTGCAGAAGTGAACATGTCGACGAATCAGGTTCAGGTATGCTAAATACTATTTTTATTGTTTTATCGTTAAACAAAGTGCAATCGGTGATATACGTTTATAACATAGCCACGATATAACGCGCGCTCTGACTGGTTGATTAACCTGCGCGAGTGTGCATCTAAGAAATGGATGTCGCACGCGACGTGATTGAATAGCGCACGCTATGCAATGAAAATTTCGTTAGAACAAAAATCTGAAATTTTTTGATCAACAATTTTTTCTTAAGGTTTTGCTATATTAATAAAACCCCATGCAACTCTCATGCCTCTTTCGTGCGCATGCTTAGCATCCTTTGGCATGCATCCAGAACTGGATCTGCGGATCTAATAGATACCTTATTTCATTATTTCCTTTTGTATCTGGCTGTTACAGGTTGTATCGAAAAGAATGCGTTTACGATTTCAAACAAAAACTCATTCAGTGCGGAAGAGAACCGAGTGTGTGAAACAAGCTATCGCTTTCCACATCAAGTCGCGAGCGAGTTGGGAAAACTCATGGATAAAAACGACAACAGGGTCATAAAAATAACCACTATTTGATTATTAATTTACAGAAGTGTATCATTCGGAGTACCTTGCCTTGTACAAGGACATTGATTTAAGAGTGGTTGATCCCTCGGGGGCAGCCAACATCCTTTCCAAAAAGCTGGACCAGAAGAAACACTGTATGCAAAATCCTCCAAGAGATGCTTTGAAGAAATGTCGATATTTTTGTAGTCAGTTCAAAAAGATCGAAAGAAAGGATATTATTAAAGAATTAAGAAAATATATACCCGCTGGGATGACAGGTATGGAAAAAATTGTTGTAAGAAGCTTCTCCCCCTATGTTACTTTATTGATTTTTAACCCTTTCAATTTCTTTCTTTCATTCTCCCTTTGAGAGAGAAGACGAGACTTGATTTACAAATTCCGCGTGCAAGAACAGATTATTATATGAAAAGCTTCGTCTTTTCGGGAGCTAAATTATGGAATTCTCTTCCAATTTCCTTAAAGGAAGAGAAGTCCTCGAGTAAATTCAAAATCGAAGGATTATGGTCTCTGCATCAAACAATATATATTAGTAATTCTTTTTACATTTAATATATCCTTGGTTATATCTTTATATTTATGCATATTTTTTTGCACGGCTTCTAGGGAGACCAAAATTTGTAATTTATAATTTATATTGTAAATCTTGATAGAACCACTGTGATTAAATAAAGTTAATATCTTCCCTTCCTCCATCTTTCC